CCAACTCTAAAGTACTTTTTCGTGAGATATGTCTGTACATATGGACGTAAACGCAGTTCGTCAGAGTCAGATGCTTGCGTTCAGGATGTAGATGATGATAGTAATAATCATTCTTCTGAAGAGCTTACAACTTCTAACTCGCCAACACAACCTAGGCAAAGGAGACGACGTCGGTCATTTACATATGCCTTACTTCAAATGAATTTATCCTTCAGGTCGAAATATTGCGTTTCAATGACTACATGCTGTCCTGTGGTCATATTTTGTATGCACGTTCTAAAGGTATGTGTGTTCCTTTATCTCTATAAGTTTTGTAGACTTATTTCGACATAGCAACAAGTGGACAAGAAAATACATAATGGACCTGGTTCTTCGTGCGCTGGACAACATCTCAATCTCTACAGGGAGTGATGATCTGCTAGTGAAGTTCACCAGCAACTACCACTCAATCCATGCTCTTAGTGAACCTTTGGCAAGTAAACTCATCCGTTCGTGGCTCGAAGCATCGGAAGACATATACGCACAAGTGATGAGTTCAATCGGTGCTAATGACGAAGCTACAACGTCAGAATCCATTGTTAATACAGACCATAGCTATGCTTCTTGATAACAAGAAGTTCTAATATTGTAATCCCCTTAGTTTTACATAAATTCATTTATATGGCCATTGACTTATTCTTATAGCGTAACGGCAGGGAGTGTACTGTGCAGTCTTATGTAGCTGTGAGACAGGGATGTTGTTTCGCGTTCTTGTGTAATAATTACCAGTTTGGCGCACACGCTATTAGTTATACAGACCGTTTACCAAATACTGCTACCTTTAACATGGTGTACCATACTAGTAGTTCGGATTTCGACGTGTCACGATAGATAAGAATCGCCGTAATTAAGAGACTGGTGCGTTATAAATGTAAACGTTTATTAAAGTTTGAATCTAGCACAAATGATCCATTAATAAATAACTTCTACTTCTCAGGAATTGTTCCCGTTAGGTCTGTGAACGCTTGCGAAGCTAGCTGGAAATAAGATAGACAGGAAAGTTATTTCAGTATAAATGTTTACCAGAAACTAGTATAAAAACGGAAACCAGTATCCAATTACAGATCGAAAGTGCATTTAGCACACCCTTCCTTTGTATAGTCAATCACGCTTATTTCCTTTATCTCTTGCGTTGCTTAGGAAAGTCTGGGTCACAACATACACGGATTGTATTATTTAATTTTTTGGGCAGGTTGCACTTCAGAAACTTAGACGATGAACATATATAAAGACTACTGTGTGAATTTACTTTCAATCGTCCTGTGTAACCTGAAATTCTTGATGCATATTCTATTCTAGTCCCACGTAAGTTATGAGTAATTGTCATTTACGGCATCAGCACGTAAGCTAGACAGGCCTTGGTTGATTTCCGAAGATCATCACATAGGATCTCACACAATCTGGTCACCTTAGATCAAGATATCTTGACTATCGAATCGTACTTTTCAGTGCTTTCTCGTAACAGCTTTATATCAGTACTTATTTCTGATATTAGGTATTTTTGCAATAATACCGGCAGCCAAAACATTGTAGCTCCCCAGACAACCCAAAAAGGGAAAATAAAGGGGTAAATGCTTTGGTAGCGAAAGGGGAAAACACATCAGAATGTCGCATTTTTCGCCTGTCCAGAGGAAATAATGTGGATAAATTACTCACTTTTCGCCTAAATATCCCCCAAATTACCGAATTTTCGCCTAACTGTCCGCAGAATTGTTTACTTTTCGCCTAAATGTCTGCTGAATTGTTTACTTTTCGCCTAAATACACACATAACTCCCTATTTTCCATCCATTGACATAATCCCAAAAGTCTACTATGTTCACCTTTATTTTCAACAGACCAAAATAAATCTGCAATACAGTGAAAGACCGGCATCTTTTTGAAAAATTTTATTTAAAAGGTAAAGCGTATTATTGTACAACACTAGAGCAGAAGCTTAAGCATCCATTGTTTTGCATATCCAATGCAATTGCTAATTCATTGTTATTTGAAAATATCTGCAAAAGAAGAAACACGTGATGTATTATTTATAAGGAATGTGCATTTATTCAAAAGTTCACTGACACTCAAACACACATTCTCAACACTTCTACAGTTTCCCATGTAAGTAAAAAAGTAAGCTGTTTGAAAAATATTTATTGAAATGTAGGTAGAACATCAAAACAATTGCACGGCTATTGAGAATTGAGGTAGTCGTCCCGTGAATTCAGAATTTAAAAAAAGAAAAAAGTCACAACCATATCTCAATGACATGCTTTGGTACAGCCAAATACTTGTGTACATCTACACAAGAGGTAGTAATGCTATCTTAGCTTCGTCTTTGGTAGAATCTCCACATAACTATACCTCTACCGCATGATTATGATTTATTTCCTGCAACACAATCATCTGGTGGCTAATATATCTAACTGTAGAAGGTGATATTAACATCTTAATATGTGTTATTATCATCTATAGCATATACATAATATTTACAACACTCAGAACACCTTATGTTTTCACTATGAACCTATTTCTGCCATAAAAGTCGAACAAAACAGTGAAAATCAGCAGAAATTGTGATAAAGATAGGAAAAACGATAAATCTTACCATGGTATCGTTAGTTGTAACGCAGTTTTCGTAGCCTTGACGACAATACAATTTTTATGACGATATATGCCTGAAACTTCCTATTTCATATGGAAATAAAAGATTTGTCGACCATCAGTGTATATCTAAGTAGAAATAATTGCTAATCTGCGATGCAAACATCGAAAAACTATTATAGCAGCACCTGAATAATGAATTTTCAAGGACTTCACGATACCATGTAACGCAAAATCGAAAAACCCCTTTTTACCTAATTATGAAAACGGAAAATAGACTTTCAAATTTATTCATAATGTATTTCCAAATTTGGTTGTGCACAAAGCAGAAATGAAAAAGTAGCGCAAAAAAGTGTCGCGATACCCCTGGAGCGCTGCCATCAACTCCAGTCCATTCAATTCATTGTTCGCGCCTTCTTCATTCTTAGGTATTTCTCGGCGTTAAATATTGAATATTTATTTTCTGAGTAGTCTCGTGTTCACAGCTTTGTGGATTGTGTGGCTATTGTCCAATGCCACTACAGTACCACATGAGTACCAGTGATAATCGAGGATTTGGTGCAGATATGAAACAACTGATTGCGAAGCCAAGGAAAGTATCCATTAACTGAGGAACATTTAGAACTCGTAAACAATCTCAGCCAACACGGAATTCAGTATTATGAATAAGAACGTCAAACAGTCCTACTTTGCGAAGTTGGGACCTGGAGAACTACTATGACCATCATTTTAAATAAACAGTTGTTTACGAAGAGTTGTCTGCTCAAGACACTCCGAATTCCACGCCCGTAGATTATCACCAATAACATGCTCTTGTAGCGTGGTGTCGAGTCTCAGTTGACTATGAACACCGCTACCAAGAAACACGTGCCAAATAAATCCATAAAATCCCCCGGAAGTCAAATATCAGAAGGCAGTTAATGGACCAAGTTGAGATATATTTGCTGGCGATCTCGTGGTATCAAAAAATACCGAGATCGTGCCAGGATACAAGCTTGGTTGCTGAGCGTAACCGGATTCGCGCGAGGTCACAATCGGAGTAAGTTTAATGGATGTTTTCGGCACAGTTAATCAAAGAGTATATTAAAACAAGCACAGGTACAATTGGGTACAATAATAATAATTGTTTTCATTAAACCAATCGTTAACACATCGCGTCGAGAATTGTGTACAGATATCAAACAGATGAATAGCTTTTGAGAACCAACTGGTAAGGAGATCCCAGTACAACGAGGGTTGCATATACTCTACCGGCGGCCAATGACTTACGAGGAGTAGTAAGCCTAAGTGGGTCGTTGTAATGATACTAGAATTCATAATATCAATAATCACAAGTTGAGGATGTGTAGCGTGGCGTCGAGTCGAGATTAACTATGAACATCGCTACAGAGAAACACGTGCCAAACAAATCAGAAGGCGAAGGTTGAACGTAACCAAAGAAACCCATAAAATCCCCGAGAAGCCAAATATCGGAAGACAATTAATGGACCAAATCGAGATATATATTTGCTGGCGATCTCGTGGTATCGAAAGGATACCGAGATCGTGCCAGGATACAAGCTTGGTTACAGAACGCAACTAAATTCGCGCGAAGTCACAATCAAAAATGTGTGTATAAGAATGGAAGCACAATATAGCTGTCATTAGCACAGTCAAACAAAAGGTCATTAAAAACAAGCACTGGTACAGTTGGTTATAATAATAATTGTTCTTGTTAAACCAGTCGTGTTCTCGTGATAAATGTGAGCCACTACAGATGTTTACCGGGTACAGATTGCCAGATGAAAGACAACGAACTACGGTAGACTTATACCTCGTTGTCAAGCCTCTTCATAAAGCTGTTCACGGAATAAGCAGTGGTCACATAGGCTGAGTGTTCCAGATCGGGCCTAATCACAATGATAAAAAAAGTAACCTCGTTCGGATGTTTGGGCTTTGACATACAACTCCTCAAAAGTTACTTTATGGAACGTAATAATATATTTCAAGCAAAATATTATTGTTGGGCATTCGTGCGGTACATATTAGATTTCACACGATTATCATAACTCATCTAATTCTTGTTTGCTCTAGCGAGTATTATCCAAAGTAGAGAAACCCCCCTTTATGAGATTTGTCGTAAAACCCAATAGCCCACTCCGTTAACGCAAATTAAGCATAATTTACCAATATAAAATCTGATTATTCAAGACAATAAGTATATTCATAATTTCCTGTGTGAATACTGTTGTATAATTTCAAGCAATAATTGTACTTTCAGACCTTTCAAAGTACGAGATCCATCTCACATGTCTTTTAAGGCCTGTGGAGGACCAACGAAATTTCAGATCGATGGGATATTGGGTTGACTGCTTGTGGTGTACAATATGTGTGGATAAAGTTTCCCATCTAGCGCTTGTTTCAGATATGGCGCAACTCAATGCATAGGAGTGAGAAGGACAAACGGTATGATAGACAGTTGAGGCTATGGGGTGATCATGGGCAGTTTGCACTTGAGTATGCCAAGGTGTGTCTTTTGAGAGCTGAAGGTTTGGGGGCAGAAATATTGAAAAATTTAGTACTTCCAGGTATTCCTATACCTACACAATCTGAAACATTCAGGCGTCGGCAGCTTCACAATTATAGATGATTCCTATGTAACTGATAAAGATTTAGGAAGCAAGTAACTCGAACGTCTTATCATATAAATTTTTAGTTTCTTCGTTACAGAAAATCATATCGGAAAGGTAGTTACACAACATTCCATTGCAAAAAACTTCTCAGGCAAGGGCACAGGTTGTAACAGAGTCTTTACTGGAGCTAAATGACGAAGTCAATGGAAATTACTTGATCGAGGTTTGTTGTTACACGATATATCTAGCGCTAACAGGATGTTCGCGATTTGTTAGAAAAGGACCCTCAAATTTTCTTGTCCTTTGATATTGTTATCGTAACAGATGCCAGAGAAAAGTGAGGATTCGCATTCTTAAATCTGTCAAATTTGTTTTTTAGTGATGACTTTTTGATCTGCGAGGGTATTAGGGTCGGCAATTTCCTCTGTACACTTCACAAATATTTACGTTACTACCCCTACTACTTTGATATTTGAGCGGACGATCTCTCAGTGCATGTAGGCTATTGAGACTTAGAGCAGTGTACATTTTTACCAAGTTATACGTCGCGACTGACTGGTTCGTAATCACTGTTTCCTCGTCTTTTTTGTGCACGTACACAATGAATTTTTATTCCATTCTCATATTGCTCTATATGACATTCAGTTTGTCAAAAAATTTGGGTGGTCACTCTTGAGCCGACTTGAAACTGTTAAATTAAAGCATGTTTTAATCCATATGGTTCATAAATTCCCCTAGAGAATCAGTGTTTAGAAAACTCGTGTTAAAACAACTGATCTTTTGTACTTATCTGCAGGCTACTTGAGATTTATTTCCCAATGCATTTTTTTAATATTACCGATATTACATATTCTCAACCTGATTTCGGGCAAGTTTTGCAACAAAATGGCAAAAAAGTAACGGTTGTTTTTGTTCATAATTGGCTATTCATAACTGAGCCTGATTTTGTACCAATATTTGCAAACTATCTTGTCCTTTCGTATGTCACGTTTTCTGGTCAGCTCAATATTAGTCACGTGATTACCCGTATGCACAACTGACCACTATTTTCCCGTGGCGTACATGCTTATGTATGCATTGTGCATACCGGTGGGTAGATCCAGTAACTTTTTGTGCGATGTATCCACGTTCCCATACTTATGAAGTATGATGCGCAACCAGAAAACCTGAATCTTAAAACTTTGTTTGTGCATGCCGAAACTCCTCACTCTGATAGAAATAGCCACTCAAGTCGATTCACGTTAATATCAGTTCCTACGTTGACTGTGACTAGCAAAATATGTTGTGATTCGATCCCTAATGATCGATATTCAGCAACTAAGTCCCAGGCACGAACCTCGTTCTACCTATTTCGGTTTGGAAATCCGGGTTGCACAATTACTCCTCAAACTTACAGTGGTATATATTAAGTATTTGACGAGTGGGTTTGTTTAATTTTTATTTTTTAAATAAAGAAACACGCTCTACATTGAGACGTCAGTACTGAGAACTTGGTTGTATTCACGCTCCATTAGTAGTCAATATCCAGTGGTTCCTTGCGTTGACTTTATATGATCACAAAAGTTGGATTGTCGGCGTTTACTATTATTAACAGACATCCGTCGTTAACGACCTCAAGAACTTAAAATAATAACAGGTCTACTCCTTGCTGATTTCTCTACTCAAATTACCATTTCTCATTGTCTTGAATGTTTTTGCAATGACAGTGTAATCGCACCAGAATATCAGAAATTACTTGGTCACCGTTAGCCCGAGTATTACTGATAGGAACTTACACAATAGCGGTTGTGGTTGCATATTCAAATTCACGAGCGGAAATTTGGTTTCAATTTTCAGATGTTTGTAGGTTTCTCTTGGGAAAAATACTGAATTTGTATTAAAAATTTTACCACTGCTTTTAGTGTTATGACGAAACTCTAATTCAGTGATCTACACCGTTAATCATAAGTCCTCAGGTTCAAGATATTTCCACTTACCTCAATTCGAGCACCTTGATTTCATTTTCAGCTCCACAACAATGATAAAGCAGGTTGAGCACATACTAATTGCATATATTTTTCATCCGAGTATGATTTGGTGTCTAATTAATTCGTCATCATTTATTACATGTATTGGTCGTGTTAGTAATGTGACAATCTGAAATAATTTTTGTTCAATTCGGGCATTCAAATGGGTGAGTAGCTGTAGACAAAAAAACTATGACTTCATGGTACTCTGGTCACGTCACAACTTGGTATCCGAAGATTGAAGTTATAACCATATGATTTTTGAGTAGTCCGAGATTTCAGAGTTCATCAGAATATCTATGTTGGATCTTCATTTAAAATATCAATTAACCAATTTGTAGAATTTTAATCTTAGTGCATAAATTTGAACAACCAATACAAATGTTTATAATCTTTTGTTGATAGATTACTCATTCGTCTCAGTCAGCTTTTGAGTGGTACTTCTATCACTTTGGTGGTATGCTTCAGCATTGGTGTCATCGGATATTTAAGAATCTGTTCTCCTGAACATGTGATAGTCGAGTCACATCCAGATTCCTATTGCCCTGATCTAAGACTTGATCGACCATTTCCTGATTTCGTTAAAATGGTAGACGAACAACCGTTAGAAGAAATGACATCTGAAAAGCTTTGTCATACACCGTGGCTCATAATTGTTTATGTTTTTCTGCAGAAGTTTATTTCTCTAGTAAGTTTTACTGCTGTCGGAGAATTGTTTTAATTTTTATGTGTGGTCAGTGTCTTCAGTTTCTGTTTTGTTTGTCGCTAGTATTGGTGCACAGGTGATATGGCTCAGATTAATCGTAGTGGCATAGATACATTCACTTAAACTCCCCTCAAATGTTCAGTCCAAAAATCGTTTTTCTTTCTTTGCCTATTTTTTTCCCATTGCTCCTGATATTTTTACTACTTCAACTATATGTTTTGGCTTAGTAATTTCATCTCTGTAATAAGGCGGTGTAGCAAATTAAACCAGTATAAATATGTGCCGTATTCAACATGGCTGAGTGACTAGTGTACTGCCCATTCATTTCTTGTCTTCGAAGCTATGTCTGACGTCACATCTGTTGTAACGATAATTATTTTCTAATCTATAGCTTATATTTATACATCCTTTTTTGCAGTTATTTAGCCAACTTACAACAACCATTTGGAAACGTTGATAGTACTAGCTTACAATTAGTGGCATTATTCATTCGATCGTTTAAATATTCATGTAGAAACTAAAAATTAAGTTCACCATGCGTCCTGTAAAAGAAAAGCAATTTTATCATTAGATATGTAAAATCGTAAACTGCAATGATTAAAGCATATGTTAGGGAAAGTTTACTACCAGGTTGAATACAAGTAGATCAAAAATCATCTCACGTTTATTAGATCAAGACTTCGTCAAGTTATGAACATTCTAACTATCGAAATAAGCTGTGTTGGAAATTATGAACCCTATAAACTGTCTGTTAACAAACCTAGATTATCAAGTTTAGACTTTGTAGTTTAATTTATTAACTACTGTTTGTGGCTAACGTTTCGTGATGTTTTATGGCTAATGTCTTAACAGGGTTATTTTTACGGGATGAGGTTGCTAATCTAAGGCCCAATTCCCAACTTTGTTCGGAATTAGTGTCGTCAGTAACCCTAGTAGGACTCTAGGCGGAGGCAACCAATTTTGTATTCCTGCAATTCATAGACATCTCTTTATTTTGAACCACTTATTTCTTTTGTATAAGGGTTTTATATTCTATTGTTTTTATATCCCTGTACTACTGTTAGGGTCATGGCTTTCAGTTGTGTTGATTTCTCTAGTAATGTTTTACACGGTACACAACTACTTTAGGTCCTTTGTTATTTCTGTTTGTAAGTTAATAGAATGCTACTCTGTAAATGCTACAGACAAAATGTAGGCATATGAGTTTAGTGTCGTAAAGTTAGTAAGTTTTTTAACCCAGACTTTGTGGCTCGATATTTTGAAGATTTTTTCTTCTACCATTGAATCACTGATTAAAATGTTCCAAACTATTTTGGTTTGCATAACCTGGTAGTATTTACAACCCTTAACAAGTACTGATTAAATGACATAGTGCAAAACTGTCGTTAGTTGAATAAACCTCAGGGTCATCAGGTGATCATATGAAAACGAATTGTCAAGTTATTGATCATTGATGTGAAGCACTATTGTATTGATTGCTGATGATAGTATCTTATATTTCACTTCATTTTTGGCTTTAATTTCAATTTGCTCTATTTTAGGCAGTTAATTGCGTCACCATTTTATTGGACTAGTCCCTCAGTTCCAATATATTATTTCTGTTTTTTTAAAAATATATTTAATCTAGTGTGTTGTGGTTGTGTAATTGTCCCACTCACTTAATTTACATTTTTTCGACTCCTACTTTTCTTAGCACGGCCATTTTCCAAGAAATCATAAAGAAAAGGCAGAGATTAAAGATATGATTTCTAAAGGTAACCATCCATTATTCGTCCGTTTCTATTCCATTTCCAGTGTATGTTATTGTTACTTAAATGTTTCCATAGACTTAACATTTTGCCTTAATGATAACTTTCATTTGTGAAATGTTAAACCTTAATTTCCCTAGACTTACTATCATCTTGATATTCATCGCTTAACTCAGACAGTCAGTCATAAGCAATATAAAACCTGGCATATATGTACATCGGCCCAGTTTGCCGCACCATGTAAGTACAACAGGGAGAAATTTTAAAATTAAATATTAAAGTAGAGTAGTAGTATCAGCTTAAACAACTACTCAATTAGGTGTTTGCAGATCAGAAATCGACATCTGAATAACGTACATTCATTTCGATGCATATTGACAGCAACCACAATGTCTCTGATTGTGCTCTTTCTCTACTTGTACAGTGAAAGGTCGTGAAGTTTTCACAAACACACCTGATTAGGTTGTGCAACTAATTGACATAATAATCTATCGCAACAAACAAAAGACAGATAACTTTGAAATATCTAGATGGCTGGAACAAGTATCCCAGATATTCAAGAAGGTTTGATTCGTCGATTTGAACTAAACTTATTAGATCATCGAACTGAAACCTTTACCGATATTTCGCTGATAAAGGATTCCTACTGTAATCGTGAAGTGATAATAAATGATATCCAGATATCCCTCTAAAAACCGACATGTGATAATTATCCTTGGTGTAAAAGCTTGTATGGTCACCATTCATTTATCGCTTGATTACATAGATATCGTTTAATTCAATGTGATTGGATGTTATGTGTTGAACATGACAGATGCGACTTGAGACACAGAAACTTACTTCTATCACGAAGATATGTAGGCGCCGAATTCTAACTTGTTGCACCAGCTTTGTTTCTATAAAACAAACTGCCAGTCTGTGTCTCCTTAAATAGTTTATATAATCGTTCTTACATTACTGCATCAATTTTATTTAGGATACATTTGTATTCTACTGAAGTTTTTGTTAAGTTTGCAAATCATCTATTTTCTAGGTGCGGTTGATCTTTGGAGTCAATTGTGTAAACGTGAGAATAACCTGGATTCATCTTTTGTCTTGGAGAATTTTCAAGAAGCATGTCAGGCAGTCAATACAGCAGTTCTACCGACTACAGTTAGTTTATTTCCTGCAGATGTGTTTTCATAAAGTTGTTTATAATTGTAGTCACATGGTGCTAATCGATTTGATGTTACAAAATTCCCTACTGGGTGGCACAGTAGTAGTTAAAGTTTACTCCTTTATTTGATACGTGGCTGTTCGTTGTTAAAATTCGCGAAATATGCTGTTTACGTCATGCCTAATGAACACCGAAACCTTAGTGTTCCGTCTGTTTTCCAGGTTCTTCACTTTAAGAAAATAATAAGTCGACTATGGTTTAATCGACCATCACCATTACAAATCCTTGAATCTTCAATGCTTTGAAATTACCGAGTTAGGCAATAATTATTTGATTGTTTTACTATACACTGCTTTCTAGTATTATGTAAACTAGTAATCTGAATCGCATTAAACTCAAACCCCTTTTAAACAGTATGACAGTATTTTTTCTTGCTGAGAAAACCAAAAGGCAACGAAACTGCTTCTTCTCTTTGACTCTCGTTATTTTTTACATACTGTTTCTCTGGATGTATCGTCATAGTGATGGTAAATTTTCTTTTCTGTCCCATATCTCTTTGTCACCCATCATAGTAAGTTGATGTTTAGATAAAGAGTTCTACTTACGACAGTTGTATAATTCCTTTCATATATGAATATAGTCTCAAAATTATGGTTTTGCATATTATATCTGTAATCCTAAATTGTTGTTTCTAGCTCTTTATTATTGGTGTGTTTACTAGTATCGTGTTAATCATAGTCATATTATCAATGTACTATGTAACTATCTCAAGGATACACTTGTTTTTCTATTTTATAGGATCATTTAAGTAAATGTTTTTATGTTTTAGATTCCTGAAAATGTGAAGAAGTTACTCGAGGATGACCGCTGTAATGATCCCTGTCTTACAAATATTGGTATTTCGGGATCCAGTAATACAGTATGTAAATACGGGAAATTACATATTAGGATTTATTTATTAATTTCTGTACTAAAATTAACTTAACCTCTCACATCTTGAAGGTCACTGGTTTCATCAAGTTCCTTTCCTATTGAAGCTAATGATTATTTCTTAACATCCCTAGGCATTATTTTGCGCTAAAAGTTGATTATCTGCTTTAAATATTCAATGGTTTCATATACATATTGATACTGTTGTTTTAAAAAAGAGGTTTAACAACAATTACTTTTGTGGTACACACATATTATCCTCTTATCAAATTATGTTATAGTTGGAAATATTATTGAAAACCGTTGTAAATTGAGTAAATCTAACTTCATATAATTCTGTGTACAACATCCATAGGCGGTTATCTTACAGAGTTAGTGAGCATATTTAGGAGAACCTTCTGAGTAGCTTCCGAAAGTTGATTATCTGCTTACTCCATCCTCATTTTCAAACCCTCACTATATTACATTTGCTGAAGCGTATTTAGAATAGAAAATTGTGTTCAAATTTTTGGCTGAAATTACTTTCTATGTAAATCAGAGAACGAAAAATGAGTCAGTAATTAAGTATATTAGTGCTTCTTTGTGCCACCACAACATTAGTGTATATTGCTGGTAAATTCGTTAAATTGTGGGTACAAAATTTAAAACGCTGTTTGTGCAAAATTGTCTGCCGATACAACATTTCTGAAAGAATTCATCTATATGATCTAATAAATTTACCTTATTTACTGTATATCTTTACTCACATAAATAGAATCTAAAGTTTCCTACCAGGAACCACCAACAATTACACAGAAAGAATTCTGTTTACACAACTATTTCACCTGTAAAATTCTGGCGTCTAGTTCGTGCTCTACGAGATTTTATTGAACATGAAGGTGAGGGACAATTACCTGTACGTGGTAGTCTACCAGATATGATATCTGATTCGAAGCGTTATTTACAGCTTTTGTCTATTTATCGTGAACGTTCTGAATGGGCGGTGGAACGCCTTGCCTCAAGATTATTGCAAGTAAGTTTTAAGAAATCGTTTTTACATCTCTAAAAGGAATATTCAACTTTTTATGTTGAGATAATTTGTGTAAACAAATCCTGTTTGATTGAATGTATCATATCATTGAAACAATAAGTAGTAGAAAATATCCCAAGCAGTAGAAAAATATTCTGTCGGGGAAAAACTGCAAAAATTCTGTCATCCGAGCTTTCGTAGTGAGAATGTTTCTTCATTTTATACTCGCATTCTATATTATAACCAGAATTTATTTTTTACACGTGCCTTGGTCTTAGTAGCTATTCGTTTTCTGAATTTCCCGGAATTAATATCCAATCTGAAGTTTTTATCATCGATTCTATGGTTATAAATGATAAAGATCCATATCTTTTATGGTGATGCCAAAATGTAGGATATATAGATTTCTCTTCTACCGATTGCGTGATTTTGCCTCAGGACTAGTTTGAGTCATTTCCTAATCTAATTGTACCGGGTAACGTAGTTGTAAAGTTAGTCCAAGTGATCTTTTAGCTGACTTAATACCAGAACAGATACAACAGCGACCACCTTTGACCTCAACGAGATTTCCATCTCCCTAACAAAAGACGAAGATACTATGCAGCAGCTCCTTTTGTATTATTTTTCCTAACTCTGAGACACAGGCTTTAATGATGGAAGGCATTTATATAGATATACCTAAATCACAATTTTGATGTTCACATTGGGACTTGAACCTGACGACTATACCTACTTTATTTTTTGCATTTTAGTTCCCTGATATTTCTGTAGACGACGTACGTCTTTTTGGTGAGTCCTCGAAAAGCTTTCGTTCTCAATATTTATGATGTTAATATTTTCGAGCTAAATACAGATTGCCGCAAAAAGAATTCTAAAAAAATAAAGTTAACAATGTCAATTCAGTTGTTTTTTATCATTGGTTGTTGAACTGTACCGTGTGGGCATAGGTGCAGCTAATTAGTTGGGGTCTTCCTCGAGTATTCTAACCACTGAGTGGAACGGTTCAGAGTCAGTTGTAGTTACTCAGATTCTTGGATCTTGAGTTTAAAAATTATCTACTTTTTATCGTAATAATTCAGTCTTTCCTGAATCATACAGTCTGTACCTAATCTTTTTTACTGCAATTAGTACTGTTACTAGTTCTTCTACTCTGGAACTTGTTTTGGTTATTTCAACTCAGTGTTTATATGGTATACGAGCTTGAACTGGTACACAAATATGTGCTCCAGTTCCTGCATTACTTATGATTGACTAGCTGTTGTGATTGTTTATGTTTGAAATATATTCTAGAGAAATGTAAAGATGTTTCTTTATCTTCAATGTAGTAACATATTTATCTCAATCAATAAATTAGATATTATAAGATAAGCATATAGTCTGGGAAATTTCGCATTAAAGGTGAAATTTCCCTCAAAACTAATAAATTGTTAATCATTATTATGTTGATTAATATAAGTTGGCAACTAAGTTTTGATTAATGTATAGAGTACCGTTCATGTGTGAAGTTTAGTGATACTAATCGACTGCGGAAATCAAAGTGTGTATTTCCATTATGTTTTCGATGACTGTCCTTTTATTCTGCTACGCTTTTTTTGATTATAAACTTTCCTAGGTGTTTCATTGTAAATATCTAATTTTAAGAAAATTATTTGGACGAAGGCATTCAATAATTTGTTACATACATCCAAACGGAAACTCTCTCGTCTCAATAAAAGCATTTAGTGGTATTTTGAAACAATGACTGTTTTCGCTTGCGAAAAATCTCACTGTAATTAGACTGTTCAGATGTTGGACCTTATTTTATTTTCATTTGTTGATTAACATTTTAATGCATTATTTTCAGTTAAAAATGCAAGCTTCTTGAATGTTGTACGTTGTCGGTCATTAGAAGAGGAAATGAAACTTTCACCAGCGCGTTCAGACGATCTGAGTAAATTCCTATTTATTGTTAAAATTTGTGTTTCTTTATCAGTATCAATGATTTTATTCTAAGCAAGTCAAACCCGTTTTTCATTATGGCTACAAAAGTTGTCTTGTAGACGTTGATTTTCTTTCAGGTGTTCCATTTTCAAGGTAACATAGCTCCACTATGAATCTAGTACTAACCTTTAAGATTTTCAAGAATCTGCTCTTCTTTATAAGTACTGGCTATGAAGCAGCTAGTGATTTCCTTTTCATTTGGTCAGCAGCGTATCCGAATTTTTGGATTACCGTTTCAATTAACTGTAGACACAAATGTGCATTGATTCATCAATCCCCACATTCAATAACTAAAATAAGAGAATATTCGCAATTCTTCGGTTAGATATTTTTACTGCTTAGTTAGTTATGGTAGTTTTACTAGAAACTTGGATTTAATACCTCCTAATTTAAAGCATTAGTGTACTATTTCGCAATAGACTAAATACTTAAAAAAAAGCAACTCAAACTTCTTGATGGCTGTCTTCTGTCGAGCATAATTACACAGTCACTTTACTTATTATTTATTATGAATTCTAGTGGCTTGTCCGTATACAATATATGAACTCTGGTATTTTCTTTTAGATTTACTCCCAACACACAAAGAAAATGATCCCATGTTGTGGTATTTAGTTCTTAGAGGTGCTAGTAGTTTTCTGATGGAAACTGGACGGTGGCCTGGTAGCTCACAGCCTTATACTACCACATTTAAATTCAGTTCTAACAACCAAAATCAAAACTCAACTGGAATTCCAGTGCCACGTGAAGAACAATTCTCCGCTACAGATTCTGAACAGTTAGACATGAACATCATTGAATCTGACTTACCAACGTTACGGATACACTTAAATCGTGTTCTCCAGTCGTTTGGGATTGCAACGAATCGTGTTAGCACAGATTATTTAGAGGTAATGTACTTTATTATATTTCCTACGGTATGTAATACTGATAAAAACGAATTAGCAGTGTGACATACTAAAATTATCAGTTTGTGTTCTCTAAATGTCTTTAAAAGCCCCGAAAAGTTAGGTGGGAGTAATCTGTGATCGGTGAGTGAGCAAAGACAGATACATCTAGTTACAGTAAAAATAAAACACTATTTTATATGTCAAACTGACCCTACTTGTGTTTCAATTTGACTCCACTTTGTGATTGCATTTTATGTGTTAATTTACTGTTGTACTATGACCTATTTCTAGTTCTTGATGGCTAGCCAGATAATTAAGTCAAGTGTGTCATTTGATCAAATATTATGACCGACCAATCTAGTTATTTGCTGATCCGGAATCAAGTATCCAGTGTAGGATCCAAAGCCCAAACATATTCTTGTTGATTCAGATTGTGTTATCAGGCGTAAACTACCTTTTTGGGATTTGCACAATAATCAATGTCAGTGATTGGAGACCTACCCACATTTTCCACCTTCTTCTAGATCTTGATTTTCAATAATATTCTTTCTAATCGATGAAGTTGGCCAATTGGTCTGAGACATTACCGCAGCCAGAGATTAGAGGGGTTGAGTAACATTGTACAGAATCGGTCACATGGACGCAATCGCATTCACTCCTTATCTTACTTTATAAATTCCTCTTAGTTTTTTAAAATTTTATTTGTTTCAACACATAAATATTGGTACAGGAGGGCACCGAATACATATGCGCCACACAAATCTCATTCGATATGTGTGAGGGCTGTGATACTGTCCGGGTGCTCAAACAGGAGCAGGTGGTTTTCTTAGGGGGCCACACCTCAAGCCTTTGACCTAAAGGTCTGATCCACAAGGCAGTGGAGCATCGTAAGGAGATGCATTCCCATGGTAGCCGGTGACCAACGATTGGTTCATACGCCAATTGTTCCCGCAGGATACTGGAGCCGATGTGCACCATTGATTGGGGATCCGGTTAAAGCGCCGGACATTCTCTTTTCCTCCTCTCATTTTCGTAAACAACAGTAACGCCACGAGAAGGCAGTGAGTAGGACTTCCCTGGTGGAGGCTGTATACGCGTGGTCATGTGAGAGTATTTCGAGAGGGAGGGCGAACCCACCTCACTCTCAGTCATACCAGGGCGTTTGGGGGCTTTTTTCTCTCACAACATAATGACAGTACGTAGATCTTTCAAAAGTTCTGATAGCGAACTTTAACGCTGCAACTGATTGGAACACTACGAGAAATAATGTAGTTTTTTAAAAACTATATACTCAATTCATAATCTTTCTCATTATCATTGGTACTAAATTATTTTGTTATTTATGTTTTTAATCAATATAACTTGAGTGGACACATAATTGTGTCAAACTACACTTTAATGATGACTAACTCCCTATCTAGAATTGTAATACTTTAAAATGATTGATACTCGGGTCCTGTGGAAGTTTTTTTGAACTTATTAGCAACGCTATTATTTACATTTAAGAGAACAATATTATGTTCAATTAGAACTTCTTACTTCTAAGATACGATAATATCTATATACATATTTAAAGAATATTGAATCATTCGAAAAAATTGGAGTTAATCGTCATAAAATAGGATACATAAGTAGTCGTAAAAATTGTTATTAATATAGTTGGTGTAGGACTAAAAAACAGCATGATAACAAGACTAAGAAAAGGATCATTAATAATTATTTGATGAATCCCTATGAATGCTCTAGTTCTATCCACGACATGATCATGATCGACCAAGTGTGATAAGATGGTGCTGGATATAGATACAGTTAGGCCGTTTTCGAACCACGAAAACAGATACTCGTCAACTAGTAAGCTAAGTGATCTAGTCTTAGGATCGACATAGCTTTCTCCATGGTATCAGCTAAATTGATAGTCTGACGAAGATCTATTTTAAAACAGGATTGTTCGCCTATATGTTCTGTCCCAATTTACATGAAAGGTTGTAATATTGTCATAAGTATTCAGAAAACTAATTGATATCCACTAAATTCTTTTAAATCGATCGCTGTGAGACCGAGGATGCTCTACTCAACTCTCGGTGAGGTTGTAGATGTGCACTGCTGAGTCCCACACTAAGATAAAAAGCTATCCAATGCTTCCTGGTTTACAGTGGTTGCCTAACTAAAGTTAGTGATGCAAACGATATATATAATTATTTTTTCTGCAATCTATTAAAGCCGCGCCACTTCTACCTTCTTTTCTAACCTACAGGAAATGTGTCAGTTCCGTGGTAATGAGCTGCATTCAGTGGTTGCATTTATGGGTGGAGTTGTAGCACAAGAAGTTATCAAGTTAATCACACACCAGTTTATCCCAGTATCGAAGCCGTTGATTTATAATGCTATTAACCAGAAAATAGAATTGTTGGATTTTTGATGAACGTTGTTGTTCATATATGAGTTGAGTATATGCATGTTAAATAAATGTTATTTTCCACTTGAAGTACATTTGTCACTCAGGTGACCTTTTGTTTTCTGTGCTGGATGGTTTGGTTGTGGAACATTCATTTCTCATCTGGAAATCATCAGCGCAAATTTCAGGTAAAATTTAAGTGCTCGGATTTCCCCACATGTGACTCAGCTTGAGTGGTTATTGTTGACCGATCCAATTTATCAACCAATCAGAAAAATCATGGATAAACATAGTGTGGTACAATCAAATTAAAGAATTAAACAATGACAGGTTAAAGGTCAACAATAACCAATCAACATCGATAGAACATGCTGAGTCATATATGAACCAATTCAAACACATCATTTCTACCTGAATTTTGTCCTGATGATGTTGTTGAGAAGAACAATGAAAACACCACCAAATCATCCAACTCGGGGAACAAAACTTCTCCTAAATGACTTACTATATCTTTGTCATTTTCTACATTCTGATCAACTCATCATTTGAGTTTCATGAGTTTTGTTTCCGAACAGTTGTTGAATAGGGACTACGTAATTTCGTCACTAAATTTCATATAACACCTAATACTGTGACTTTATTCAAAGTGATGGAATCTTTCTCTGGACAGGATATCATATTTTCTAAGCCTACTGCTATCTATATTAATGAATACTATATTCATTTAAACCCTTAGCTGAGAGCATAATTTCCTTCCTTATCAAAACTGAAGCACAATGGCAGTGGAAGTTCTCATGCATACTGATTAACGATAATGGATTGAAATTTACACTGATCCGATAAAACGTAGTGATGGCAACGTTCACATGCACAATCCGTTCGATTTACTAACTGAATGAATATATTTTACGGAATTAATAGGTTTGCCGAGTATTAGCTTACCAAAAGGTAATTAAATCCTATATTTCAGAGTTGCTATGTGACCACCAGTCTTACTGACTTGATAGGTCCTGAGTTTTCAGCCGATTTCATTTAAAGCATCAATTTTTTATACTACAGTTTAGAGAAATGGAATAAATTCCATATTCATCTATTGTGATGATCTAGTTGGCATAAAAATTAAACAGTATGCGTGTAACAAAATGTATTATACAGTCTGTTTCTTTACAAAGTTATCCTGTGATACAAGCATCCATAAAAACAAATCAAATACGTTACGTAGTTTGTTAACTATTCATCTAACATAGACAGAAAACCACATAAGATAAAATAATTCTGTTCAAGTATGAATAAGTTAGTAAAATGGATAGAAAATAATAAAACTGAAACTATCAAACAAGTGTAGGCATGGAGAAAATTACAGACTACAAAATTCAAGAAGAGCTCAAACCATTATATTTATACGTAGTGCCTTAGGTGTTTGTATCTTGACTGCCTGAATTGGATATTTTATGATTATCATTGCTGTTAAAATTATCAGTAGTACTCGTAATAGTAGTGGGTAAGATTCCACTTCGTTGTTGATCCCAAAGTTGTTTATAATATGAATCCGGTTGTGATAGTAAACTGGAGTGCGTACCACGTTCAGATACACGACCATTTCGTAAGACTAAGATTTCATCAGCATCAATTATTGTGCTTAAACGATGAGCGATTACAAGCGATGTAATTCCAGGTGTAACTTCTGCTAATCGTTGAAGAATAGTCTACATAATTTGTTTATAGTATTTTAGTAGGGAAAAGAAAAAAAGTATATATATATATATATATATATATATATATATATATATATATATATATATATATATATATATATATATATATATATATATATATATATATATATATATATAGGATCGATTTACTTGACTTTCACCAACAGTGTCAGTGATTCATAAACTACTATCAAGAATGTTGTTAGCCAGGTATCATTTAGGTATCGCATATAGACTGTATCGATGTGCCCCTGTGTACGACGAATTGGAATAGTGTCGCAACTGAGATTTACCATGCAGTTTAATCTTGAAGAAATAAAAGTCGATCGACTTACAACATAAGATGAGCCTCAGTATCAAGTTCTGTCGTCTTGAATCGTGTGTTTTGACCTAAGTATTTAACTGTGCACTAGCAATTGGAAAAGTGATGAATTTTAAGATCTATTATATTAGGGTGAAGATTGTTGTTTCTTTTAGAGTACTAGCTGCATTCAACTAAGCTTCGGTTCATTTCAAGGACGAAATGCATTTTCGATAACAAACTATCAGCGTAGTTAATGAGGAAACTATCTAGGTATGTTTCTTACTGTACGTATCTCAAATGATGACTTCCGTCACACCGAAGAAATTATGATGAGTTAGACTGTCTAATTACCAATTTGCCTCTTCTGTCGTGTGTTTGAACACAGAGATGGTTGTATTTGTTGACATGATAACTGTCTTTCGCTTTACTTTTCTAAGCCTTACTTTAATTTATTAGTGATACCTGGAAATCCCTTCAAAACTAACTCGAATAAACTGAGAGCTCACAAACACCTTTTTACGGTTTTGGAATTAACTTGTTTACACAACTTCTTAAGAAGTACTTACCGAAGATCGATTTCCTGGAAAATGAACTTCATCTATGAGTAAGGGACGATATGTAAGGCTAACGAAATCGTACATAATCAGTGTACATAGGTATAATACAAAATTCGCATCACCTCCACTTACTCTTCATGGTAATTGATTTGAAATTCGAGAAGTTTGCGTAATTTGATGAACGGTGAGCACTCGTACAGATGTAACATATAAACTTAATATGTATACAACAAAAATAAGAGTAACTCTGTGTAATCTGATCTACGTCCAGAGCCGTTACGAGGTTTGTCTGTTCACAAATAAAATCTGGTGTACAACGGCAATTCTCATAACCACTAATTATTCAAACACATAAAAATTGGTACAAGGAGGCACCAAATAGATATGCGGCGCATAAATCCTTCGCTTTGTGTGAGGGCTGGAGTACTGCCCAAACCGAAGCAGGTGGTTTTCTTAGGGGACCAAACTCTGAGCCTTCATCCTAAGGGTCTAATCCACCAGGCAGTGGAGCAACGTCAGGAGATGCAGTCTTATATTAGTCGTTGGCCAACAATAGATTCATAAGCTATTTGTTCCTTCAGGATCCTGGAGCCCATGTACACCACTGGTTTGGAATCAGGGTTTCTCAACTCCCCTAGGTGGAACCTCCGTATCCCCCAACCCGGTTAAAGCGCTGGACATCCGCTTTTCGTCCTTTTAATTTCGTAAACAATAGAAATGCCGCGAGAAGGCAGTGAGTAAGACTTCCCTGGCAGTTGTATGCACGTGGCCATATCAGAGTATCTCGGGAGGGAGAGCTAACTGCCCGCTCTCGGCCGTACTCACTTAGTTGGGACCTTGACTACAATGAAAAATAAATTGTTATCGATATTGAGAACATATAAAAACATACATGTTCAGTGATTGAATCTAATGATGACGTTGCTTCGTCATAAACCAAAATTGGAGCTTTCTTCAGTAGAGCCCTTGCAATTGCTATTCGTTGTTTTTCACCACCGCTCAATTTCAAACCACGTTCTCCGACCTTTGATTACGAAGAAAAACCAAAAATAAAATTAAATGTAAGTTTAATATGCATATTATCAAAATAAACGAACAACTGATCAATTATTCGAAGTGAATGTATGTCATGTTCATCAGAGATTGATCCCAGTTGAGGTATTACTACAAATCAAGTGGTACTGAACAACTGTTTTGTTCCAGTATGAAACTCCTCAGTATTGAGCACTAACAAACAAATCGGAGATAGAACCAAGGAACGTCTGCTCTCTAGGCGAACGCCTAATCATTAGGAGCTAAAAATAAAGACAATCTTCAAAACTTTTCCAATAAATATCATAGTCAGCTTTGTAATGAACTGCTTCAAGATGTTCCTGTAGTTCTAATGAGAACACATGATTGATAGAGTTCAGACATTTCAGTAGTGACTTGTTTCTGATATCATTAGACGATTGTCGTCCAAATTGCGAACTGCTTGACATCAAATCAAGGGTTCTAAAGGTTTGCAGTTTGCTGTGACTCCTGAAGACACTTGAATTTGAATACTGGTGGGATGGTGGGTTCGCATTGCTGAAGAGTAACGTACAGTGATAGAGCTGTCCAATGTCCGCTAGTATTTAATGACACCTCAACTGAAATCAAACTGTGATAAAATGCAACCTAAAAGCTAGGACTGATCTTTAAAAACCTTCAACTATAGTACGTTGAATGTATTAATTCTTAATAAATAGGAATTTATGAAGTATAAATTTATTTAGTCAGTTATTGGGGGCACGGCTGTTTCCTACTACCCGACTATCCAAAATAAAGTAAGCAGAGTAGTATCTTAACTTGTAGCTGGAAGGTGAATCTTCTAACCGTTAAGATGTTGGACAATATATAATAATAAATGATCCTGATCAGCGCTTAGTTACATCTATATGCTATAAACTTGCAGCAATCTGTTAACAAAATTTCATAACAACTAGAACAAATTCGTTACATAACTTAACCAGATCATCACGATTAACGCTTTAGTAAAAAAAATCTATTTATATTTCAGACCGGATAAATGTCAACGACTAATATGAGGTACGTAAGATCCAAAACTGCGCCTCTGAAAATTGTGTCCTTTTTTACCATCAGGATAATGGAATTGCGATCGGGCCTTTTTCTGAAGGGTATATAATATACACAAGTATTCAGTAGTTCCGCATTGTAGTGTTAAGGTACTTTAATAGATTGGGTTGATTGTCTGGTTTATAAAATAACTAACTTCTAGTTGATGATATGGTTTAAAAACAGCGAATACTCCACTTACTTGTGTATCGTATCCGTGTGGCATACGTTCAATTGCATTGGCTACATTCGATAAACGAGCGGCTTCGTAAACTTCTTCCGGAGTTGCTTTCAAGTTACCGTATTGGAGATTATAAAATATTGTATTATGGAACAAAACCGTATCCTATGAAACAACAGGACAATGAACATGGATACTGATAAAGCGTTCTTACATATATAATTAGCAAAGCTACATTTTAATTGGATATATGAAATCCGATTGAAAATAGCAGCCCTTGAGATGTTGCACGAAATATGAAACAGTGACGGATAGCTGGTTGAATTTGGCTGATTTCGATGACGATATAATCGTGGACATTTATAGAACAGTGAACTATTGAGGGATGTCATTTAGTGATTTTGGTCAACAAATTATGAGAAAAGGTACGGGAATTTCATTAACTCAACAGGAGGCATGGATTGATGGGGATGGGTGAGACATAATTAACTACTTTGTATATCGTGGGAAAAGGGAACAGTTACACTAAAACTAGATAATAAGTTAGTTACGGAAATGTCAGTTACCTAATGATATATTGTGACCATTAAAACTACAGATAATTATATTAGACGAACATAAGTTACGTTAAGGCAAAGTTTGCTGGCAACAAACGATTCACTTGAGTAACAATAGCTAAGATTTTAACTGCTCTTATAAAATGTTATACCAGTTTGACCTAATCAAATCAC